ACACACACACACACGCAAACACACACATACGCACACACACATAATATAGTATATATATACATATATATATATTATATATATCTGGTGTATAATATGTTATAATATAATATATGAATATAATATACAAATTATGTATAATATGTACATATATATGAATATGTACATGTATGTATATGCATGCATGCATGTATGTGTGTGTGTGTTGGTGGGGGGGGGGGTGAGTGGATGTGTGTGTGTGTTTGTGTGTGTGCGTGTTTGCGTGTGTGTGTGTGTGTGTGTGTGTGTGTGTGTGTGTGTGTGTGTGTGTGGTATCTACCGTGGAAACAATCCTTTTAGTGACTTTGTAGTCTTGTCAATGCCGGTCATCTCTCAAGTTTAAAAATCCCATAAAAACAATTAAAAACATCATTTATTAGAAAAGTTAGCCAGGAACGGAACTGTTCAGTAAGAGTAGGGCGAGAGTTGCTTCTTTTGACATTGATTAGAAAAGCTGCTGATTTTTACCACTTTTTGCAATTTCCCATTTTAAAAATAATAAATCTTGTGTGTTCTTTTAGTCCTTTATCTTTTCTTCCTTCATGGCTACTCCTCTTCCCCTCACCTGTTCTTTTTTTGCTGCTGCTGGTGCTGCTGCTGGTGATGGTGGTGGTGGTGCTGCTGCTGCTGCTGCTGTTACTTTTATCATCTAGGTTGTGATCCCTACTGTTATCGTTGACACAAACGTGCTATTTGCAGGTATCAAATCATTGAGAGTTTCGATGGCAAGTTCGGAGGAAAGAGTCCCAACGGATCTTGGAATGGTCTCGTTAGAATGGCGCAATTGAAGGTAGAATAAACTATACTATACTGCGCCGTTATGGTGTTGGTTCATCGCCCCTTTCAACGCTTTAAAAGTGGAACCTCGAAATTTAACGTCCAGCTCCAAAATGACAGCGTGAAATAAATATAATATAGCGTTCAAAATTTCCCCAACAATACAGGTTCAGGTAGCCTTTATTTAGATTCGAACCAGATCGTTCGCATCATGAAACCAATGGGTTAACTGGGGATAAAAGTAAAGACAATATATCGCCAAAGTAAGAGCTTCAAGTTTGACAATGATTAACATTTAGTGTAAAGAAAAAGGTTGACGTGTTCAGACTAGAAAAATGAAGGTTTGGATGCGGTTTTATTATTTTTTTCTTTCAATTAAAAAAACCCATTTTAGTTTAACATAATTTAATTGATTTTAAAATATGTTTTTATAAATTATTTCTTTTCTTTTCATTTAATTGTAATTAATTAATTAATTAATTATAATTAATTAATATAAATAGATAAATAAATTCATTCATTCATTCCTTCATTCATTCATTCATTTACTTTTTTATTGATTTATGTATGTATTTATGTTCTTGTTGTTGTTGTTTGGTTGTTGTTGTTGTTGTTGTTGTTGTTGTTGTTTTTGGGGGGTGTCCACACTGAATACTATACGACGAACTACAAACTACAAAGTAAAACATAAACTGAGCATGAGTAGGCTGAGTGTTTCTAATCCAGTTCAACCCCTCCCCCTCAGCTGCTTCCTGCTTAAGATTGATTTGTGTCTTTTAAGGCATTAGAGAATAACAAACAAACAAGCAAACAAACAAACAAACAAACAAACAAACAAACAAATTAAATAGCAACAAACAAACAAAAAAAGCAAACGAAAACAAAACAAACAAAACAAACAAACACAGCAAAAATAAAACAAAGCTAGAACATGTACAGGTTTGTTAAACAAAGACGTTTACTTTCAACATATAAAAAGATAAATGCGTGTGCTTTTCCTTTCCTGCCCAGAGTATTGATCTGGCAATTGGTCCAATCAGCGTGACGTCAGAACGTGCTGCCGTCGTGGACTTTGTCCAGCCTATAATGGAGGACGGCGGGGGCATCATCGTCAAGAAAGTAGAGGACACTGTGGACAAATTGTTCAGGTATCTCGTTGTGTGGCATTCGTTTATTGTTGTTGTTGGTGGTGGTGGTGGTGATGGTGGTGGTGGTGATGGTGGTGGTGGTGGTGGTTATGGTAGTGGTGGTGGTGGGGTTGTTGTTGTTGTTGTTGTTGTTGTTGCTGTTGTTTTTATTGTTGTTGTTGTTGTTATTTTTGTTGTTGTTGTTGTTGTTGCTGTTTTTCTTCTTCTTCTTCTTCTTCTTCTTCTTCTTCTTCTTCTTTTTCTTCTTCTTCTTCTTCTTCTTCTTCTTCTTCTTCTTCTTCTTCTTCTTCTTCAGACATCGGCGATTTGGGTTTACCACTCATTTCTTTGTCCCAATGCTCGCAGAATTTACATTTATAACGGTTCATCTAGTTATACAGTCATCACCGCTTCTCATCTTCCTCAAGCTCTATCAATGAGTATGGTGTAACGGTTAGGTTCTTAGTATGGTTCATTAAAGACGTGGCTTCGGCTACTACACAGAAAAGACATTTATTTTAATGAGTATCTCCGCTGACACAAACCCCGGGATTGCGCTTACCAGCAGAGTCGGAGAAGGCCGCTTCCTCAAACTGACTTCATTTTGCTGATGTGGGGTGTAAAATAAAATTTCGCAAAAATAACCCCAGTGCAAATTGTTACCTTTATGCTGAGGATTAAGTCTCAAGCTTAAATAGTTTGATATCCGATATATCCCATCCTGTATACTACTGAAACTTAAGCTGATGGACACAGAAAGCCTGTTGTTTGTTGCAAGGCCTATGGTTGTGATGGTGTAAGTGTGAGTGTTTCTGTATAAGTGTGTGTGTGTGTGTGTGTGTGTGTGTGTGTGTGTGTGTGTGTGTGTGTGTGTCTGAGTGTGTCTGTGTGTTTGTATATGTGAGTGAGAGAGAGAGAGAGAGGAAGAGAGAGAGAGGAGAGAGAGATATAGAAATAGAGAGAGAGAGAAAGAGAGAGAGAAAGAGAGACAGAGAGAGAAAAAGAGAGAGCGAGAGAGAGAGAGAGAGAGAGAGAGAGAGAGAGAGAGAGAGAGAGAGAGAG